AGGAATAGGCTGCAACCAGACCTAGACAGGTTACAGGGGTGGGTGGATGAGAACAGGATTCAACACTGACAAATGCAAGGTGCTGCACCTGGGGAGGAAGAACCAGCAGCATACCTGCAGGCTGGGGAACTCCCTTCTCATCAGTGCAGAGGCAGAAAAGGATCTTGGAGTCATCATTGATGCCAAGATGAACATGGGCCGGCAGTGTGGGGACGCGGTCAGGAAGGCCAACCGCACCTTGTCATGCATCCACAGATGCATCTCAGGCAGGTCCAAGGAGGTGATCCTCCCCCTCTATGCGGCACTGGTCAGGCTGCAGCTACAATACTGCATCCAGTTCTGGGCGCCACACTTCAAGAGGGATGTGGATAAAATGGAGAGGGTCCAGAGGAGTGCTACCCGCATGATCAGGGGGCAGCAGGGCAGGCCCTACGAGGAGAGGCTATGGGACCTGAACCTGTTCAGCCTCCACAAGAGAAGGCTGAGGGGGGATCTAGTGGCTATGAACAAACTAGTCAAAGGGGACTAGCAGGCTTTGGGGGAGTCCCTGTTCCCCTGAGCACTACCACGAGTGACTAGAAATAACAGTCACAAGCTGGCAGAGGGTAGATTCAGACTAGACATCAGGAGGTGCTACTTCACTGTCAGGGCGGCTAGGATCTGGAACCAACTTCCAAGCGAAGTGGTGCTGGCTCCTACCCTGGGGGTCTTTAAAAGGAGGCTAGATGAACACCTTGCTGGGGTCTTTTGACCCCAGTACTTTTTCCTGCCATGGCAGGGGGTCGGACTTGATGTTCCCTTCCAACCCTCCCAGCTATGAAATTATTAAACACCACACCATTGACTATCTCATGAATATGTTCCCAAATATATATTTAGCTGTTAAATCTTACAAATGCTGTGATAGATCCATTAATAGCTATTAGCCGAACAGTCAGGGATGTATATTATGGCATCTTTTAACCAATTACACTAGATGCCTGTGAGGGTATGACAGGTGATACTTCACTCTAGATATGCCCTGTTCATATGCTCTTCCTCTAAAGCATCGATTACTGCCATTGTCAGAGACAGGATACTGGGTTAGATGGACCATTGGGTGGCCCAGTATGGAAATTTTTATGTTTTTATGAAGAATCATAATGGTGCTATGAGATTAGGCAGTCTTACTTTAATGAATTCCTTAAAACATATATGTGATAAAGGTGTGTGTGTGTACATTTGAGAGAGAGAATAACAGACATATTTAAATATTCCCAAATGTCCATTGAACAGTTATGAGTGCAGTGTTAAAGCTACAGTCGTTCCCTGGTAGTTATAGTGAAGTACTGATTTAATTTTGCCAAAGGAAAGATTACATGGGAAATAAGGGAGAGCATGTTTTGCCTACTCAGATTTTTCATGGAGGAATGTAAGAAACATTAGGTATTTAAACTTCAAAGCTGTGTTTTCTAATGTTATAAATTTGCCTTTTGATGGCAGAACAGAGTATTAAGTACCTTTGATATCCTGCCAGAATGATATTTTAGCAGAAAAAAGAGAGGTTTTAAAGAATCTGTGAAAACCCACATAAACCATTTTAAACCAGTACCTTCTACTGATTTGCCAGCAGAAATAAATTAATAAACATTATTTCAAGATAATTGAAATAAATATATACTTCATAGTATTAATGAAGAATAAAACAGAACAATCCTCTGTTGTTTTAGTCTTGTAGAGGAATTTAAAAATGTAATAAAATTGCATACCTACTCATTTCATCCTTTGGAAAAAAATGGAAAATAGAAAAGCTATTGGTTGTGTTGTTCAAATTAGAAATGCATGTTTAAGATCCCATGTTTCTATTTGCTGTTGAAAGTGATGAGATTGCAATGTCTGTTTCTCTCGATGCTGCAGCTTTTCTGTGTGGGTCAGACAGGCAAAATGGTTGCTCCAAACCAGCATGAACCCAGTTGTTCAAAAGTCATTTGACTTTTGAAGGCTGGGCCTTCAGATAATGCTGTTCATTTGGCTGTTTAATCATTCATGGTATTGTTTTCAATAGTGATTTTGTATCCAAGTTACTAAATGACTTTTAACACAATGGATTACTTGTTTTCTTGTATGCTTATGACAGGATGTGAAATGCAAACCTTTTAAAAGTAACCTGTAACTTTCACACTGCATGATTGTCACAATATTTTTACTTATCAATGTTTACTTGATGATAGCATCAAGTAAAAGGTAACAATATTTATCTGGATGTTTATAGACGTTTAATTTGTGTGATGCTTATAATTGCGAAGAAGTACAACATTTAAATTGGTGTATTTAGCGTTCAGATTGTGCCTTTAAGGAAGAGCCTCAGGAAAGGAGTAGTGTGGAGCTTCATTGTCTTGAGGGGGAATATGAGGAGATATATGCCTCCTGAATTTAATTCCACAATGTTCATGGAAGTGTTTCTGCTCCTAGACCCTTATGGAATACTGCCTTCCATTCCACCTGCTCCTCATTAGCACACCAGTCCCACTCCACAAGCCACTGTGCGGGGGTATAGGAGAGTAGTCCTGCTATTTTCATATACCTTATGAGATGATTTGTGTCACTGGACAAACAGAGAAAGGAGCCCTTATGCTTCCTGGAGTTGAGTTCCTTAATTGCAGCTATGCTTTGCCTTTACACAGGCTGTGTAAAGTGGTGGGAAAAGTTCCTTGCACCCTTCCTTCACATTGTGCACCTGCTCACAATTTACGTGAAATCTGGCCCTGGATCAGATTGTAAAGGGAGTCCAGATTAATTGACAATACTGTGTTTGTTTTAGAATTAAAAAAACCCACTTGTTTTGTCTGCATATTTGACATAGAATTAAAAGTACCATTCAATTCCTTTGCCCCTTTTAGTTGACTCTTTTTAGCTTGTTCTCAGAATTTCTACCTGCCAAACTATATTATTTCAACTTTCATCTTCCTTTTCACCTTTCACATATCCCTTAGGGTACAACTAAAACCCTTCCCTCAGCAGTGACTGTCAAAACTAAAAGCTCCCTCACCAAAATTTATTTCTGCATCTTTTATTTCACAGGGTTTCAAGGCTTTCAACACCCTATTTTCA